AACAAAAGGGTTGTGAATTCATCCTGAATTTAGTTTAAAGTTTTGTCCAAAAATAACAGTAAGAGAAGTTATTTGGGCTTTTTAATAGCTAAACTTACATCTTTATTTTAAAAACATCAAATACTGATTTGTTGACACTTTTATTAGTTAGAGCCAGCCCATTGTAGAATGAAATCCAGTATTTCAAGTAAAATGAATGTAGAATGTTATTCTACTTGTAATGTTTCTTGCATTCATTTTACACCCTAGCCAGGAATATTATGTATGTACTCATGTAGGGCTATTTTTTACTTTCTTTATTTTTACTATGAAATTCATTCTTCAACATGAGAAAAAAACAAAATGCAAAAAAAAAAAAAAAAAAGGCAAAGCAAACCAAAACCAGCACAAAACAAAACAAACTAACATAAAATAAAACAGAAAAAAAAAGCAAACACAAAACCAAAACCCCAACCCCCTAACATACAATAATAAAATGAAAGGTTTATACAGCCTGCATTAATATTTCTATTTTATTAAAGGGAAAACTGAGGAATAAGTTTTGTATGTTGTGTCCTAACCTGAGCTCTCTGTATAGGATCAGGACTCTTGCCAAAGGTGTGGCTGAGGTCAGGCTTTTGTGTTCCTTGCACTGCCCATATGCTGTGTGGGAGGTTTAAGTCAGGCCTGGCTCTCTCTGGTCCCAGTTTACATTTAAATGTCCCCATTTCCATGTGGGAATTTAAATGTCCCCATTTCCATGTGGGAATTGACTTTGCTTTCACTGCTCTCCTAATGGATATTTTGATGTAAATTAATGAACATCAGTACTAATGGCACGTGCTAGAAATGACACTTTTAATACATGGCTTTGGGGAGATAGAAAGTATTTCATAGGACTGACATATCCCTCTTTCCCAGATCTTTTACAGTGCCCAGTAGTTGATATTTATAGAAAGAAATGGGATAAATATGGGGTGATCTTTGTAACACACTTCCTATGTTCCAGGTGCAGATCCCATAGAAGCCATTATCCATAATAGGCATAGTTACCACTATGAAGTTGTTTATGCTATTTTGAAGTTATTAATAGTTTTTGACCCATAGAATCTTATAGCCCCAGGTTCCACAACCAGGCATTTCTGGAGAAAATATTTATTCCGTTCATTTTAAAGCTGGTTCCTTACCATTTTATTAAGAGTCAGTTTGTTCCTGTGTATTGTTCCCTCATCATCTTTTCCATACCATTTGTGGAGACCTCTGTCATAACTTCCTTTATTTGTGTTGAGATAGTTTAATTACTGTGTCCTTGCAGTAAAGTTTTATTTGTCTTTTTGTCTTCTGAGTCTCCTCTATTGTACTCTTAAACCATGATAACTTTTTTTTTTTTGGGAGAAGGGTTAGAGCTCTATAGTAGCTTTTCCTTGCTCTGAACACTTACTCAACAGGCTGTTTAAAAATAATACTTTATTTCCTTGAAAGGATTTCACCCTTTCAGTGCCTTCTTTATTTCCTTTTAGAAAGAGTAATTTTTATGCTTTTTTTTTTTTGTTTCTTACACTGTATCAGTATTCTGACAGCATTTCGTAACTTTTTTATACTCTATATTCTAACACCCAGTTACATAACAGTTCTGTGGCAAACACACTATTTATAATTCATTTAGATCACTTTTTATTTGGTTTTGAACAGTGTGTAGCCTCTGGGAATAATGAAGGAGCCAGTGCTACGTGACTTGTCAGCCTTATAGGGATCTTCTGGTGTTTCTGTCTAGTCTGCTTATAATTTATGAGCCTACCAATGAAAAATACTAATCTAACATATATGGGGGTTTATGCTTCACAGTCTTAATGCATTTCAGGAGGGCTGTTTTATCCTCTTGGTTTAGCTGCTGCCCAGAATATTTTGTGCTGGTTAGCAAGGCCATCAAAGAGCTGAGGTAGAGTGCAGATTATTCATGTCTGGTCTGAAAATAATTTTCAAGAGATCTAATTAGATAGGGGCTCATTTTCCCCTGTATTTCCATGTCGTTTCCCAGAGTATTTCTAAGGCATGATTGGGGTTGTTAGCACTTCACCATATGTAAAAATGCAAAACAAACTACCTACATAGCTTGGCCCAGCTCTGTGATCCAAAACATCCATTCTGATGCTGAACACATAGTATGAATTCTAATTGCAAGCACCTATTTGAGATTAAATAAATGCCATGTAGAAGTTCTGTCTGCACAGAGAACAGTGCCAAGAGCTTTCTTTGATTTCATTGGGAGTAGAATTCTGTCTCCAGTGTGTTTTTCCTGCTTCTGATTGAGACAATGTGTATTAAATTAATTTAAACACAGGGATACTTTGAGACAATAGAATAATAATTTATTTCCACAATTGTCAGTTGTATGGATCATACAGGAGGGAAAGCAGCCAAGATGTGCTGACATATTTCTGACTTCTAAGAAGGGAGCATGCTGTTATTTTTTTTTCTTCAGAACAGACAGTGCAGGCCATGGACTCTGATTTTTCATGTCAAAAAAGGTTTAAGATTCATGTGTTTTAAAAATCCTTTATAGTCATGGAGCTATTTCAAAGTGTACACCTCTTATTTATTTTTTACTTACTGTGATCATAGGGTATTTTGTTTAGAGTGGGAAATAGCAAATATATTTTCTCAATTCAACACATTTTTAGTGAAAACATTTAAATTAATTTTTGAGTTCCCTTTATACTGCTGCAATGGGTATCTTATTGTAAATAAAAATGAGACCAAAAAACGCCTTTGGGAACTAAGACTTTTAGGCATTTTTATCATATATTTATTCTCACCATACTTCTGACTTCTCACCATACCCTTCAGTGCCTTTCTCTTTTTGAAGCAAATACAAGTCTTGTGATTAAATGTACATGATGTTGAATGCACATTTCCTGAAATATTTATAAACTTGTGCTTGCTTCTGTTTGTGTAAATCTGTTACTTGTGTCTTTTCCCATTCAATCTGTCCTTGCAGCTGTATTTGTTACAGCTAAAAGAAGCCTTTAGGAGCCCCCCTGCAGCTTTCCTTTAGTTATAGGATACACTTCAAGTGCAATACAACAGTCTAAAAAAATAAATGCAGGTCCTAAAACCCAGTGAAGGTAACAGTGGACTTCTGAACTCCCAGTCTTACCAAGAGATGTTCCTTTGTGGCCAACAAGTCGGATTTTGGCAGAGGGATTTGTTTATTGCAGTGGGACTTGCACAATGAGGCTCCATGCAGGCTGATGCAGCCAGGGAACATTCCTGGACACTGGCACTGGCTCCTGCGTGCTGTTGAATGCTTAGCACATCGCACAGTTAACACTCTCCCAGACCCTTCCCAGCACAGCTCAGCAGTTCCGCGGGCTCTGTTCCCGGCAGGTGCTTTGGCCAAGCCCCTCGGGACGGGGAGGTTGAACCGTGTGGCTGCGGGCTCCTCCCGGCCAGCGGGGCTTCCATGGAGCCCACGGCCCCTGCGATGGGCTGGTGTGCTTGTGGCTCTCTGCGGCCAGAGCTGGGGACAGGAGGCACAGGGCTCCTACTCTGCAGCTACGGACTGAGCTGAGAGGGGAAGCAGAGCTCTCGCTTTTGCCTGGACACAGCTTCTCTGAGAAGCGTCAGACAGAACGTAAGGACTGCCGGTGCTTTCAGTTGTTCAGACCATCAGCTGAAAGTGTCCACAGCAGGCTCAGCACCTCTCAGACATCTGAAGCCTCCTGAGCCCGTTCTGCTCCACTGGATTGCCATTGTGTGCTGTGTAAGAAGCAAGGTGGTGGCTCAGCAGCTCAGCAGGCTCAGCACCTCTCAGACATCTGAAGCCTCCTGAGCCCATTCTGCTCCACTGGATCCACAGATTGCCATTATCTGTGCTGTGTAAGAAGCAAGGTGGCACACTCTGCATGTACAGGTTGTTTTTACAGAGAATGCAGTAAAAATGATGTATCCCCTCTTCACAGTTCTCACTGTGTGTGTGCTATGCACCAGTTTGCTCGTATTTCTCTTTATTTTATGAATGCTCATAAAATGCTAATTCCTCCAGAACTTGTTTGCCTTACACCTCACCATAGTTTTTTTTTTATTTAGTCTTGCATCTTTAACTTTGAAGAATTTGTATTTTTGTCATTGTCCATTTAATGGTTGTACAATATGCACAGTTAAGATCCCCAAACTAATCCCTTGCTAGGAACTCGTTCTCAGTCAATGAGGTGGAATTTTTTTAAAATTTATTTCTTTATTTCCTAAATTTGTTCAGCACCTGTACATTTATTTGTGAAAATTGTGTGACAGAGTAAATGAAAGGAAATGGATGGCAAAATTTCCTTTGCCAGCTACCTGCTTTGAAATGACATTTGCAAAACACGTATACTGATATTTATAAAATATCAGAGCCTGTCAGTATATCAAGAGCAAGGACTCTCTCATGCTTTTAAGTCCCAGTATAGATGTAGAGGGAAAGGTCTATGAAGCTTCCTTCTAGTAAGAAAAACATTTGTGGTAACAGAGCTTGGTAATACTATTTTTGTGTGTTTGACATAACCAGTCATTGCTGGGCCTTTTTAGTTGTGAATAATACAAACATTCTAGACATCCAGGAAATACCTCTGTACTGTTTCATCCCACTACGTAATCCTTGTCATTGCCAAATTTACTGAGTTTTCTGTAAACAAATCCAGGTGACACAGGCACTGATGTGCATCATGACTGCTGAGGAAGAGTCAGAAAGGAGGAAAATGGTCTGAACCTGCTGTCACTGAAGTAATAGCACAATTCTTACCTTGGGCCAAAGGCAGGTTTTGGGAAGGTTGAATTGTTAGAGTTTATCTACAGCAAGCAGGACTTGGGGTGCATTGAGTGCAGAGTTTGCTTGGCTGTTTTCCCTAAATTACTGTACATTTCAAATCCCTTGAGAGTAGTGTCACTTCTTTTTTCGTGATACACCTGCTCTTAAATGACATACAAATGTTTCAGAAAGTAAAAGAAGAACATGTAAACACAAATAGAAAACATCACTGTCATATTTTCCAAGTTACTTTATTTAGCTCATGTTTACAGATGAAACCGGGTGCCAGAAAGGAGCCACTGCATCCCGCATTATTAATTATACTCCAGCTTCCAAGGAAAAATTTTATCAGTAGCCTTTAGTAATATTTGGACCAAAAACACATGGATGTGCAGCTTTGAGCATTGTGTACCATGTAGGGTGCAGCCTCTCTCACAGATCCTCTGTTTCTGGAACGGGGTTGGATTCTGCAGGCTGAATGAACACGACTGGGATATTCTCCGATGTCCATCCTTTGGGAGTCCTGTTGAAGGATCTTCTGGCAGCAAGAGGGTTTGCAAGGATCATGAATCTGGGATCGTTTAGCATCAGCATATTATAATCTGGTACCTTGAATTTGACCAGCTTTGATGCTCTCTCAAAACCACCAAAGGGAGTGGCAACTCTGTAGATATCAAAGAAATAAAAGTTAAATGTGATTTTAAAAATACTTGTTTTCTTTCCCTCCCAGAAGCTGAAAAGAACAAATTTTTGTTCCAGTTTCTTGTTTACATTTTCAAGCTTTGGAAAAAAAACCATTCTGTTTGTTTTTCTGGGAAATTCTCTTTAAGATCTGAATAATTTCCCCTTAGAGCTTGCAGCCTTTTCAAAAATTCAAATGGATGGAAAAGCCAAGAGAAAAAGACGTTACAAGAAAACCATGTAATTGGTGAGTCACAGTTACTAAACTTATTTTGTTGGTGATAAGTTGATAAGTCTGAAACTGTAGCTCAACACATTCTCTCTAGCAAGTAATTAGTTCAGAAACTTCTCACCCCATTTTCTCCTCTCCTCAGCTGCTTGTTCCTCCCACTACACTGTGTTTCAGCACCATATTGTTGTACCAGTTAGAATGTATGTGGGTTGTGCTATAAACTTGGGTCACTTCTGTCATCTGGGTTAAACAAATACCCTTCAAAACAGAGGAGCACTTCAAAATCCAAATTATTTCAGCAATCTAGTTGATATCAGTATGCTCGAACAGTTGTAGCAATACAAGTGAAGAGGAGTGGAGCTTAATGAGTGAAGCAGAAAGGAACAGCCAAAGACAACAGGCTCTGGAAAGGAGGGGATGGGTGAGGACTTGATACACCAGCTTTGTTTCTGAAGAAAATGTTTCTGGAACTAAACATTGAAACACTGTTCAGCCAGTACTTTTCATGTTATTTGAATGTAGATTTCCCCCCAGGCAGTAAGCCTGAGAAACTGGAATATAAGGAATACTAAACTGGAGTTGACTGTTACATGCAGGTTTCAGACTGAAAAACACCCCTTGAGTTTTCCTGTCACTTCTTCCAGCCTCCTTTGGACAAACAAACAGACTATGGTATGTGCTCTGCATTTTGATCAGCTGCACAGCTTTGCTGGGATATATTCTAGCCAGTGAAGAGTGTCAGATTTTTAAATCGCGCAGGAGAACCTGGTTTCTGCAAAAACCAAACATGTGATAGCATGTTTATGGGAAAATGAATTTTTGTTGAAATGGAATTTCACCAGCCTTGGTATATTTGGTGTGTGGTACAGAACAGCAGATCTGATGGAATATACTTCCAGTGGCTCCAGGTATTTTAGCAGAAGCCCAGAGAAATTAATACCAACAGAAACTAAAAGAGATAATTTGAAGATCCGTTCAGGATTTTCAGCAGGATAAACCCCCTAAGTTTTGTACTAAGAATGAAGTATGTGCACAAAAGAAGAGATTAGTTCAGAAAAATGAATTTGTGACATGAAAGAAATGGTACTGCTCTCTCATTACATGGATGATTCACTGCATTTTGGTACGAGCAGCATTTGTTGAAGGGGATGGTGTTAACTCCAAAGCATCAATCCTGGGAGATATAAAAAATCATGCAAGCTCTGGGCATGCATCCTCACTGAGAGAAGAACACTGCTTTAGATTAAGCTCTAAAAATGTGTCTCAAATGATGATAAGATGTTGCAGCAGCAGCAGCCAGTCCAGGCATTAAACTCTTTTGAGGTCAATGGAAATTGTTTATCCAAAGTTGGTATCGAGCCTGTGGTATCAAGTTTTTCTTGTGTAGCTGTCTTCTAGGTCACAGTGTCAACCTGGATCCTGTGTGATACCGATTGAAGTAATTGCTTGGTAATTGGCACAGAGTGAATGCAGCGATGTACATCTCACCAGATAATAAATATTGTTGTAATTGCTGCCCTAATTACGATACACATTCTCACATTGTTGTGATGGTTAATTATCACTGATGTGTATATTAAAAGGGTAATCAAAATAAACAGAATTGTAATAGTTTTATAATTTGCAAAACAATTCTGTTGTTTAAAACATCCTCTTTGTAGTATTTATGGGTTTTATATAGAGCATATTCGTGTATGTAACAGAAACAGGAGGGCTTTCCTTGGAAATTCAAGTATCTTTTGTGGCAAAATAACCTCCCCCCACCCCATAGCTGCTGTACAAAGTCTGGCCTCAGAGAATTCTGCATTCCTGCCTTGTAGGCAGGGGCACATGACAATTGACAGAAAGGAGAGTACAGTAATTGGCTAAGAGATGTTGATTTTCCTTTACAACAGCAGTAAATATGGTCTTGTGAGCAATAACTTGTCTGACAACCTGGTGTTGTAATGACCTCTGTTGTGTGCACATCAGCTGTGCTACTTGAGCTCTGATTCATTGTATAGAAGCCTAAATCTCATGCCTAAAAAATTCCAGCAGTCATTGCTCATAAGGGCGGAAATGCTGGTTCAGAGCCATAGGAAATAGTGCCAGGAAGTGTAACAGATTGTTTAATATTCACTTTGCATATTCCTAAAAAGTACGTGCTTGATTTAAGAATAGCAGGTACAATCATGTTTGTTTTACCTGTCATTTTAACAGGAATTCTTTTTCATTTTTTACCCTTAGTCTTTCATATTGAATATTATGTTGTCTCAACATAGGAGACTGCTTGCAGCTAATGATTTGGGAAAGTCTGAAGAAATGTTTTAACTGCATTAGATTAGCACCTCTGGTTACATAATCACAAAAAAAATGAGTTTCACATTTTAAAATGGGATCATCATTCATAGAACGTTTTGTTTATCATTAATTCTGCAAAAAAAAATGAGATGTAGGAGGAAAGAATCTGACCCTGCAAAATGCTCAGAGCTTCATGGGATCTTAGTGCAAGAGCTAATGCTAATTTCACAGAGGTATTTGGGTGCTGAGGAACTGGCTAAGCACCCAGCTCCCACTAATATCACATCCCTTGAATTCCTGGGAGACTCTGGATCTTAGTATTTTATAATGGACTTCAAGATCCATGAATCAATGAAAACAGATCCCAGTCTGGATGGACTGAATTCCTGTAGTGCTTTTGAAAGAGTAGTCTTTGGGAATTGAGAAAGCTGAGTAGAATTTGTCTGGTAGGAGAGGCAGAACTAGTCTGACTTGCTTGTCCTATGTGAGTAAGATGTGGTGCTTTGGATGTTACTCATAATCCTACCTTTGGCATTTTATCCAGCTCCAAGAAAGCAGATGGAATAAAGGTACTAATTTAAGTAATATTATAAACTCCTTAGCAAATGCAGATTCACGCTGCTTTCCCACAGATTCATTACTTGGTGCTTCCGTACTGGTAAAAGAGACAAGAAATTTTTCCACTAGCAAATGCTTCCTCAATCCTAATAGGAGCGAATCTCCAAGAGAAGCCAGATGGCATGGTCTGTTCTGCTGCTTTTCTCTGCTAGCACAGATTGGTTTTATCTCTGAGGGGGACCAAGAGTAGCCTGGTGTGCACAGTGAGGTCAGAGCCCCTCTGAGCCCCACTCCCCTCTGCCCAGTGCTGTGCTGTCAGAGCACCTCTGCCAGTCTCACAGCCAGCCCTGCCTCCCAGCACAATCCCTGCCACAGCTCTTCCTCTAGTGATCTGCCAGCACTGCAAGGTCCCTGCAGCTTCAAATGAATACTAGACTCCAAAAAATACCTCTACGAATTCCTTATGTGTTTTTAAAAATTCCTTAGTGTTATAAAAATTGCACTGCTGCAGGGTCCACAGTCACCTCTTCACTGCTGGGCAGTGGGGAAAAAAATCTGGATGCTGTTTAGTGCTGAAGTGCTTTTATCTGTGAATTGTGCCTCAGTTCCAACACATCAGACCTCCCCACCTGCTCAGGTTGTGCTGCTTTTCCGGTTTGTTGTGTAACAAGGAAAGCTGAAAGGAGCCTGAAATGATTTGTAAAGCCTGAGTGCCACTTGAACAGACGCCGGTGAATGAACCGGGAGGGATCCCAGGCCCATTTCCCTTGGGAATCCTATGGCTCACACTTGCTGCCAACCACACCCCTCCTGACTAATGGTGACTGTAGCAGTGCTCTGCAGGAGAGCAAACACAATGGCGCTTTGCTGGTTGATTAAGCAGGATGGAAAGCCTAGATAGATCCCCTCACTGATAACAAAATGGTGCCATTATATCACACTTTAATTGTTTAATACACTATCATTTGCTTTCTCTCCAAGACTGCAATTAAGCAGGCCAAGGATGCTGTGACCTAGATGCACAGAATGACTTAATAGGATTTAGACACAGAAGTCCAGCTAGTCTTCTTCTGCTGGATAGCATGGCATGGCAGTGCCCTGTTTTAAATCCCATCATCAAACACTCTCCTGTGCATTTTTAGGAGTGTAGACATCTAAGTCATGGCTGTGAAATCCTCTCCAAGAGATGAGTATCTTGAATTTTAGTTTTTCAAATTCTCAAACTTTTTTTGAATCTGCTAGAAAACATAAGTCTGACTGTAGCATGTAACTTTTCTAGGGCTATCAGGCATCCTTTTCTACTGGATATCAGTTTTTTTCCATGGAAAGAAGAGTTGTGGTGGACTATGCTTATATATGTTTTGGTTTGAACTTTACCAGTTTCACAGTCTGGATCTGGATTATGTGCCAAATTTTAGGGTTTTATGGCAGTTACAAGAGAGGGTATTGACTTTTCCCTTATAAAAATGCACATATGTTCAAGAAATTCAGACTGCTGAGCCTCACTCTGCCGTGTCATACACAGAGAAACTCCACATAGAAAGAAATCCAAAGAGTTAGTGTTGTGAAGAGGGCAGCTAACAGAACACAGGGCCACAGAGACAGCCTTAAAATCCACAAAGAAGCCATCAGACACCATCTCAAGACAGATACCCCTGTTAATGGAGTCTCTGTGCCCTGTCTGATGCTGTCCTTCACAATAATGACTAGCACCTCTTGTGAGAAGGAGAACTGATTCTGTCTCCATGCATTTGTATCTTTAGCATTTTTCCTTGGGCTCTTTTATTTTTTAATTTTTTTTTCTTTTTTATGTTACAATAAGCACAGTACATGAACTGTGCTGTTACTGTTCTGATGTTGGCAGCTGTGGCACTTCTCTGGCTTGCATTTGCTGTTTTGTCTGCTGAGGAGAGTGTGCCACACAGACTCAGTTATTAACATGGCAATGTATATTGCTGCTAGGAAATCAAAGCTAATGCAGTGTCTGCAGTGCCAGTTTTGATGCTGAAATGTGCAATGTTTTAGTCTTTGCACTCCTAGCTGGGGCCCACATCAACATCAGTAACACAAGTGATGTTTGTGGCATGTTTCTCTAAGTTTGTATTTGTAGGGGGATAGAATGTAATTAAATAAAGGTAGTATGTAGAAAGTAATTATAGAAAGAGTTGCAGCTGGGTTAATTATTAAGGATTAGGAGTAGGCCTGACTTTAACAGGCCACAGCTGTAGCTGATAATAACAGTGCTATAAAAGAGTGGGTTGGTTGGCTGAGGGGAACTGGAGTCAGCTGGCTGCTGTGGGAAGGAGGAAGAGTCAGTGCTGAGAGGGGCTGAATATGAGAAACACCAAGGAGGTACCAAACTCTAGCAATGTGGAACCTTTGCAATGTAATGACAATGGAACTCTTGCAATACAATAACAGCATGTATCGCTGTGACCAATTTTGTTTTTCAAAAGATTGCTGTCAGGCCTTCTGAGGAGGGGTTTTGGTTTGGCTCAGCTGTCTGAAACTCAGCAGGGTTGTCCATTTTTTCAATAAATAACAGTAGTGTAAGTGGAATGAAAGAAAGCAAAAGGCATGAGTAAGAATTTGCTTTCAAGCTTTAAAAACCCGGTGTTGTCCATATATCCAGTTCAACTGAAAGCCATGATACACTAGTTACTCTGTAAGTAAAACAATGTTTAAGCTGTTAGTTTGTTGCTGAAGGTTGTCAAGTATATAAGAAATGTTATACTACAATAACAGAGAAATCTTCTAGTTATTTAGTGTGAGGGATTGGTTGTGGGATAAAGTTCATTGCACTATTGTTGCCTAAGACAAAGCCATGTGAGTTGTATTAAAAAAAAAAATAGAAGAAGAGTACTTTGCATTAGACAACTTAGAAACAAAGTTCTGACTGAGACATCTGACAATACTACGCTTACTGAAGTCAACAACAGGCACCCTGAAAGGAATTTGAAGCTCATATTTCCCATTTTTTGAGTACACTGAATCATGGAATCATGGAGTGGTTTGGGTTGGAAGGGCCCTTAAAGATGATTTAGTTCCAACCCACCTGTCATGGCCAGGGGGACCTTTCCCTAGAGCAGGTTGCTGAGAGCTCCATGCAGCCTGGCCTTGAACACCTCCAGCAATGGGCATCCCCAGCTTCTCTGGGCACTGGATTCTGATACTTTCTTTCAATATTTTTAGCAATTTATCTTCTGTTCCTAGTTCTAGAGTTTGAATTTGAGCCCATACTTTAGAGATAGACTAATTTGCTCCTTAATGCTCTTGTTTTACCACTTGCAATCTCTGTGTGTTCATGTTTATGCATACACTTGCAAACATGGCTGGTGGGGTTTTTAAAGCTGGTGGAAATATTTTATTTCATAGTAATTTTCCTCTGGTCAGTAAAATTCCGTGTTCATTTAGGATTACCTGTTAAAGCTCCTGTAGTCAGGCAGTTCTGGCTTTGCTTCAGGTGCAAAGAGTTTAGGATATAAAGCTTCCAGTAGTTCTGGATCATCTCTAATGGCTTCTATCCAGGGAGACTGGTAATACTTTGGAACAGCTGTAGTGTTGAACTTTTCAGGAGGAATTTCTTTCAGTGGTCCAGAATATCCTGCAATGTGGTCAAGGTAAAATGATTATAATGATTCTTTGTGTTTTCTGCTTCCTTGCACCATCCTGTGCAAGCAGGAACTAACACAGCAGAACTTCTCAATGAGTTAAAATGAACAGTTGGGTCAAGTCACCAGGCTGGAGCTACACAGAAATAGAGACCAGGCAGAGCAAATTTGTAGCTTTTTAGAGAGATAATTCCTCCAAAGTATCCAACTTCTTTTGAGGCTGAGTTTATTTTGGTCTTTTTTATAAATTTGCTTCTATTGTAAGCATTTGTTTGAAACCAGAGAGTCCTTAGGCTAAATTAACAAAAATATTTTAAAAGCAGCCTGTTGATTAAAAGTAAGATAATTCTACCTCTTTGAGTGAAATTTTCCACAAGTACATCTACATCTAGGTCTCTGAATGAATGCTGTTTCATTCTATAAGCTTAAACCTCCCCATGGCTTAATACCTACTCTCACCAGACCTTTTTTGCCTAAAGAAAGGCTTGAAGATTTCTATCATGTCTTAGCAATGGGAATTACCTCTGTTTGCATTGTGTTTGGCCAAAGGATGCACAGAGCCTCAGCAGACACCAGCAGAGCAGGACTGACCTAGTTTACATGGACTGGAAAAGGTCTGCACAAAACATGCATTGAGTAATTCTGAACAAAGAATGAATTTGTAAAAACCACGGCCTGCTCATGGATAATTCATAAACAGGAAGAAGGGCTATATCACTGAATAAATTAATTAAAACAAATTAGCCTTCTCTAGTCTTTAAAGAATACAAAATAAGGCCTTCTTGTAACTCACTCCTTTAAATAAAGCCAACAGTACCCTCACAGTTAAGGGTTTAAAAAAGAACAGTTTATGCAGCCAGAGGCAAATTCCTTTCAAAGTTACTCCTCTCTAAAGGGTTCCAGCAAAATTTAGTGGCTTCAGATTTACATGTATGGATAATTAAACTACAATGGATAGCTTGCTGACTGTTGAGCAGGGTGTTGCATGTTGGAAACAATGGTAGAAAAATCAATATATTAATGTGGTTTTAAATCAAAGGATCTCTTTCTCAGTGTTTTTAAGACCTGTACGTATAGGAGCAGCCTCTCTTGATATTGTTATGTTTTCAGTTTAGAGAGAAGTAGTACAAAAGGTATATCAGATCTTTTAAAAATGAACACAAGCAACTAAGCGCATCCCAGAATTTCTGGGAGAAGTTCTGATTAGTTACCTGACTCAAATGTGTGTATTTTAATATTAGTCCATTATCTTCTAATTGAAGATACTGCCTTGATGGTCATTTCTTTGCTGTGCAATGGGGCTGAGTGCAGTCAGTGTGCAGTGTTACCTGGGGCGATGTTGTCAGGGTGGGGAGGGCTCCGGGGGTCAGGTGTGTTGGGAGGTGTCATTGGGGCGTGCTGGGCCATTCCTTCCACACTGAGGCCGTCCATTCTGACACTCTGCATGGGCTCTCCACGCTGTGTTCACACAGGAAGAAACAACACTTCAGGCAGGGCATGCTCTGAGAGGCTGCACCAGTGCTCTGATTTCCAGCCCAGATCTGATTTCCAGCGTGCACAATGCTAAAGCACACTGTGCTGCTGTTTGGTAGGGTATTCCCTTCACACTTACATTGTCCAAGTAACCAAAAATGAGCATTTTTTGGTCACTAGACACTAGAAGCTGTTCTGTGCCAGTCAGAGCCCCCGTGCAACCCAAAGGGTCAAGACATTTGGCAAGTTTGAGCCCTTTGATTCTTCAAAGCATCTCTTCCCATATCAGTTGAAAATTTTCTGCATTTGTTGCACTGCTTTTGTTTGGGATTGTCTTTTCCTTTATTTGTAGTAGAAATAACAACTTCAGTGCAGGTCACTTTCTGGAGATTCATGATATGCTGTTATTTTCCACCCTCCTATTGGGATATCAGTTCTAAGGAAACATCTGAAGGCTTAATCATTGTTGCATAAATATAGAATTAGAGTCTCATAAGATGTCAGCATCTTATTTTAGCCATGACACATAGGCTAAAAGCAATTTAAATATAGACTGGTTTAGAGTAAGAATTTCTTGAATAGGAAAGCAAACAAATAATACTTGTTTAAACTTGAAGTAACAACAAAAAAAGATCAAGGCAGAATGTTTTCTAGTCATCCTGAAGTATGTTAAAAAGATTAACTTTGGCAGGCAGAACCCTAAAGATGATGCAGACGCCACCAGCGGTGCTAAATAGACACTTAGGGGAGGGAACAGGAGCCAGAGGCATCATTTTTTCATGTGTTGGAATGTCATACTGACTGTAAACCAATTGTACTCTGTGGTTTTGGGGGGAAAAAATGGACTAGAGGGAAATGGATCTGTCAGACTGCAGCAAAATCATGGAATTGCATACAGCATTCTGACAAGATTGATGGTGTGCTCAGAATTTATCTGTGTAGCTTCTAATACTCAATAGTATTAGATATAGATGGGCTTTTAATGATAGTGTTTAATAGATGGGCTTTTAAATGATTTAGTGTTTAATAATAGCCTTGGGTGCTCAGTGGAGTTGTTCAGATTTTTTATTTGGGATTTCTTTTGTGCTGATTTATTTTAAAAAGGCAGATTAATCAAAGCTCAAACTGGATCTCATTTTATCCCAGTGTAATTTAACTTCTGTTGAGCAAGTGATCAAAGACATTGGAAATAGCCATACCATATGAAAATAAATGTAAATTAATTTTCATGTCTATAGGATCTCATTTAATAAAATACAACTGCGTCATTTCTTCTTAGCCTCATTCTAGGATTTTGCTTTTATTTTTCCTGAAACTACAAGTAAAATCACACACAATGCATATGATGAGCACTAAAGGAATCTGATGTAGAATCACCAAGGAGCCATTACAAAATACTCACATTTCTAGGCTTGCTTGCCACGTAATGATAATTTTCATATGTGTACTTGTCAGATCTCCGCTGGCGGCGCTTGAAGAGCCTGGCCCCTCTGTTGCTGAGCGTCGACAGCTCCTCCACCATGATATCTCTGGGCGTGCTGACCTTTTTCCCAAGGTTCAGGGTGGGTGAGACTGCAATGTCATGGTTAAGTATAAACCTCTGTTTGTCTTAAATGTCTGATATTCCATGCTCTGCACCTGAAATCCAGCAACTTCCTCATGCATGTTTAGTTAACACATAGCACAGTGTCACATGGTGTTAGTGAAATGAAGCCTTCTTCCCAAACTTTGGAGGAGATTATTGAACACCACAAACCTGTATTCTAAAAGATGATAAGCACCTCAAGCTCCAAGTTAGATCAGGTCTATAGTGTCCAACACATTATATTAATAGCAGGCTAGCAAAAACAGGCTTCTGCTAAAATGGGGAACAAAATTCCTTCTGATCCCAAGTTCCCACATCAAACCTTCAGTTAACTTTGTGTCCTGCATTGGATAGATAAGAGATAATCCCCTTTAAACACACCTACCAGTTTCTATGAAATGCTATTTTTAGACTGACTTTCAAAATAAGGCTCAAGGTGTGGAAAATGAGTCCTAACAAAGAATTACAACATACTTCTAAAAATTGATTCATTTAGGACCTTTTGGGTTTTATTCTCTTTAAGGGGAAACTGAAATACTGGATGCATATTTCTTTATTCACTACTTGGGAAAAATTTCTTTTATGTCTTTATTCACATCCTGTGAAATTTGAAAAGGAAGATGCATAAGCAAGGTAAGGGGAGATCAATCAGTACTGTAAACAGAGAATTCTGAATGTTAGAATTCCTATGGTCATGTTCATGATGGTGCTCTGGAAGCTGGGACGCCGGTGGCACTGAGCAAGCTATTGCTTAGTGACTGAACTCTCACTGAATGTCCTCAACCTAGAGACAAAACTTCAACTTTAGAACACAGAAACCTAAATGCTGAATAAACTGTTTTCTATTTATTAATTTTTGCTTAGAGCATTGCAGAATTTAAGAAATATAACAATAATGACATTCTGTGTTTCACATAGTCTTATGGTCTTCAGGATTTAAAATTCTGAACTTTGACATGTATTTTAATACATTAAAATGAAATGAGGACACATTATACATAATATGTATCCTGTTAGCAGAGTAAGCAGACAGGAGGGTGAGTTTGAAATTAACATTACAAATTAATTAGCTGCAGAAGGTGCCTAATGCCAAAGTCAATATTGCATATGAAGGGTTTTGTTTTTAGTAAATGGCATGTTCAGCCTGGCATGTGTCTCCTAGTAACTTTATGTTGGAAAAACAATGTGATGTGCTGACATTTAGGAAAACTTAATGGAGACAGATATATTAAATATTTAGCTGAAGCTGGATGGACAAGAGTTTTCCACATAGTAAATCAAACAAGTAGATGGGCCCTGGAGTGCACCCCTGTTGATCCATTTCTGTCCATACCAACTTCAACTGAACGCTTGCAGTGGATTTCAGCGGAACGAGAGCAAGTTAACTGGATCATGAGCTGGACTGTGCACTTCTGCTTTAAAAATAGTGTGTGCAAAGAATCCTAACAACCTCCTGTTATTTAAGAGCTAGTTACAAAACAGAGTGTTCTTAACATGGGAGAAAATGACTCAGCTTGCCCAGTGTATCCCTATCAGTGGCTGATAGTGGTGGGATTTTGGCTCTGACATGGAGATAACTGTACTGGTTATTGGCTCATGGCCTGAAACTTAGACCTTAAGTCATATTTTGATTTTATCATTCCTCAAAATGACTGCAGGGGTAGAGACTGCTGGCTGGTTTTATATTAGCAAGAAGAAAGAAATTGACCCCAGAATTCAGCAACACTTTGACATAGAAAAGCTTTTGTTTGTACACAGAAGGGGGAGCTTGAACATCCTCAGAGACCAGGGAGCCAAGGCAGCTGCAGAGCTCTGGCCAAAGCACTTGGGATTCTTCTGGGACACTCTGGGTGTTATCTATTTTGGGCCTTGCTGTTCCCTTACACACACACTGTTCCTGTTAATGTTAACTGAAGGCTCCAAGCTACTTTGTAACCCACAGTTGTGTACTCTTGTGTATCCAGGCAGCTTCCCAAAATCATAAGTGTAAAGTTCATTTGAATTCCTGGCCAACTAAAATCTAATCATCTGTCTAGCTTTATGATGTGTCTAGGGATAGTTTCAGTGTCAGTGCAGATAAGGTGATAGAGAATGAGAGAAGGAGGACATTTAGGGGGTGATGGAAAGAGAACATTAATGTCTTAGAATGGACATTGAAAAATAATATTGAAAGTTTAATTCATAGTTTAATCTTAATCTTAACCTTTTAGCTTCATTTCTTTAATTTGCTCCTGGCAAGTCCTTCTTGTCCTGTGCTTAAAATTACAGCAGATTGTAAACTGAAGGATTAAAGGAATATTAGGTAATGAATGCAGGAGGGACTATATAAATCATATTTAAATACAATCTTCTAAATACCTTAATCTGGCCTATAAACTTTAATGACAAATATTAGAAAGTGTGTTTGTTGTAGTATCAGAAATAAGTTCTCTTACGTCTATCAGGAAAGACAGTTAATCACATAGATACTGAAGAAAGCATTTAAGAAGTAGTATAGAACTGGATGTGGGATTTAAGTGGTGAACTCCAAGGGCTTCCTTAAACATATGTATTTATGTGCATCCAAGTAGTCTTAGAAATGTTCTTATTGGTCCAAGTCTGCCAGTGACAAACCCTGGGCTTGAGGAAGTCGCTGTATGCACCCACTGATTTACTCATGCAGTTTCTCTTTGAGACTGTAAGAAGGTTTACAGTTGGTGTCTACTCCTACAGCATTTTATGGTGTGTCCACTTCCTCTAAAAAATAGGTCATGTCCCACAAGCCAACAGCAGAGGTGGACTTTCAGTCTTCACCAGTCTTGCCCAGAGAGTGGTGACCTCAGACACTGGCAAAAATCTTGGCTGGTTTTGGAGTCTACCACCAACTGTTTCTGCTGTGAATGTCTTTTAACAAGGAGGTGGAGAGTCACAGTTTACCTGAAAGCGTTATAATAAAAAGGGTCTGAAATAAAAGTGGAGTAGGAACGCTTACACCATTCCAAGGTGCTAGGGTTTATGGTACAGAGCCTTCTGGTTTTGTGTGCCTGTGCTGTCAGTGGAGAGTTTCACAGGGCTGGGAGACTGGCTGGAGCTGTACATTTAGTTTTGATGTAATCACCAGCTGCAGGATTGTCATTAGGAATAGTGATTCCAAGCCCAGAGACACAGTAGTTCACCTTCTAGATCTCAAATTAAGCTCATTGAATTAACAATTCAGAGCAAAACAAAATGTCAAAAATTAGTTAAGCTGAATCTAGTCAATTAAATGCTGTATTTCTCCTTGGTTTTTCCAAGGCTTGTTCAGATTTGGTCCCAAAAAACTGGCTTAGATTTTGTGTCACCACAGCTTTGGTTATCCTTCTCTTTTCTATCTGGCTTCACTGAACTTGTACAGTTCTAAATTTCAGTCTCTTATCACACCCAATTAATGGACTTTCATTTTCTGGTAACATATAAATATCTCAAGCACCCGAAGAAGAGGTAAAAATAGAATTTTACTAAGAGTTAGAATTGCCTTCAGTGGCCACATATCACAGCATATCTTGCAGGATAAGCTGCCATAACTATGAGTATGAATCTTGACAGCAAATCTGATAATACGTAAATAATAAAAGGGAAGATTATGTGAGGCAAATGTTAAGCATCAGCACAGATTATCCAAATACACCAATGATTTCAAGGGCTGTATGCTACATTTATTAGTATTGCTATGAATAGTAGCAACATTTACCATGTGAAATGCCTGGTTCCAAACAAACATATGAAAGACTTTTTTTTCCTTTTGCCCTGAAGAGCTTACAGGCTATTTCAGGCACATGTAGCGCTTGGGTTTACAATACCAAAAAAAAAAAAGGGGTTGTAATGAAATCTGGAAGGACAGACTGGCTTTCAGATTTGAGTGCATGTTCAGTGGAGAATTGAAACAGGAAAGAAGTATTTGTTTAGGAATAGAAACTTCAGGAAAAAAACCTCTGGAAATATCAGAAGGGGTAGGATCAGGCAAGTAGCTTTGTGTTCTAAAAATTAAGTCCCTCGCCCTACCCTTCATGTAATCACAGTGGTCATCAAGTGAGTGCAGAAACCATCCACAAATTTTTTGAAACAAAAGCCCACTGGAAAGATTTTCTGAACTGGAATTCCATGTTTGATATTTCATCCCATGAAAGTGGTATAACCTTCATAAATTCTCTGCAGCTATGGTTGCAGCTAGGCTTGAGGGGTGCTTATCACTTTTAGAAAATTGGTCTTTTATGTAAATAGTAAAACAGGCTTCATGAGCAGGATTGGAAGGCTCTCCAAAAGCATCCAGCACATGCCTGATGAAAGCCAAGCAGGTTTGTATTCCCACTGGAGTTAATTGCTTCTTAAGGTGTCATGCTAGAAGCATAACTTCACAAACCTTTTCAGAAAAATCAAACAACCTTCCAAAAAGTGCCTGCATTTCCATCAGTGCCACTACAGAGAAGTAAAATTTCTGTCAAATAAGATTATTTGGTGGCTGTGCATTAGAGAGAATGCCAAATGCTAGTAAAATGTGTTAGTTACAAAGACGAGATCTGAGAGGAATGAAGATGTGAACATTTGTTTCAAATTTTCTTATCAATTATATAAAAAGCAGAGTGAAACAGAGCAAAAGAACCTAACAAACCAAGAGGGTACAGATCATTATGTTTCTTAGATGATAGCCTTTTAATGTGGAATGAAGTCATGTTATTAACCCCAAATAATGTTCTGAAAGGCTATCCTAGCAGAATGTACATCAGCTGTTAGATTACTTCATTCCTCCACAGCAGTTGTTCATCTGAAAATAGCTTTCAAATGAAAAGAGGCAACTACAAAAGGATTAGTTACCATAGGCAGCATGATACTCCCACAAGATTATTTATGGCAAAACACCCAGAGACAAAGCTGTAAGAGAGTTAAACTCTGTGATTAAAAAAAAAAATGTATTAGGGAGGGCTAGAGGACATTGCATATGCAGTAAGCTGGGCTCAGTGCTATACCATTTCTGTGTATTTCATCCATAATGGCTGATGCTTGCTCTTTCCTCTCTTTGGCCAGGGCAGAATCTGATAACATTGTGATTTTCTGATACGACTTTTCCTTGCTGCAAAAAAACAACACATTTTTATTGTTGAGCCAGCGCACACAGTTTGGCCAACTTTCATTTCCAATAGCCTGTTTAGAATGGCTGAACAGTGAAGTCAGGGCTTTCTGCCTGAGAAATACTGCACTGCAAAATGCACTGGCAGTTCTTGCTTACAGACAGATGTTAGGACATGTTTTGATGGATAGAAGATTCATAGGAATGGACTTTGAGTTGGTTACATAAATTCTTCAGCAAAAATCAGTGTCAGTGGTATAGGCCTTCTCACATCTACTTGCTATACCTCAAGATGTAAATTCCTAACTAATTTTAATTTACATCTTGGTTTATGTTTGCAGCAATGTTACATTTTGAAATTTCTTAATCTAATAAAGAATCTGAGGAATGAAACTAGTTCTTCTGGCATCTTTAAAGAAGGTTCATTTCTGACTAAGTAAAAATATAAACATCTGTTAAGTTGCAGAGTCAAGAGGTTACATAAATGTCTTGTATATGACAGTTTGTAGGACAGACAATGTCAAAACATTTCAGGAAACAATACACTTACCCTACTGTTTTGTTGTGCAGATAAAAAGCGATGTCAACCCTTTAGCTGAGGCTTCAGAAGTTAGTTATGCATGGGGATGACCTGCCTGGTCCTGGATGGTTTGTACCCTTGTGCTGGGATCTGCATGGTACCTAGAGCTGAGACAAACTGGGGGGCTGATCCTCTCCAAAGGGGTTGGCATCCAGCTGACATCAACCAGTTATATATAGAACCAAACACTCCAGCCACTCATATCTTCCTGGCAAAAGAGGAGAACAGAAAAGATTCGACTGCACCCACAACAAAGAGAGGTTATGTCCCTTTCAGAGCTTATTGAAAATTTGGTGGAATGCCCCCCCTGATGTACAGATCATCTCCTCATCTTCTCAGCACCCCAGAGAATTATAATCTGCGTGTTACAATCAGGAAGGAGACATTTAAAAAGAAGGTGTTAAGTGTATAGATAGGCAAGACTATAGCAGATGAGAATGGCATGGGCTAATCCTTCAGTGAAAGATGAAACCCTGCTCCTGTAGGGGCTGATGGCTAAAGTCAGTGGCAGATGGCTGATATACAGAGGCTGCTCTGCAAAAGAAATGAGATTTTCTTCAGCCTGATACGTGCTAGGGAGTAATTGCTCAACAAGCACACGTCTCGCAAACTGTTACTCAAAATCCCTTCACTTTCTTTGAGCACTGGGGACAAAAAGCCTTCAGCAATTTGAAGCTCACTGATATCCAGCATTCCAGGATAGTGTTGTGTCAGTTTATCAAAGAAATGTGTGATTTGTAGTGCACAGATATTTCCAGACAGCAACCAACTTTGGACGGAATTAAACAGCGGCAGAAGAGAATATTCCTCCCTTGCCCTCCTGTCTGAATGCAGATAGATGAATTTTGGGGCAGCAAAACCAAGGTGAAGTTCCTCTGTTTCTGGTTTGGATTTTGAGTTCTAGGAAGTTCCTTTTTATAATGGAAAATTATGATCTAATTTGGCTTGGAGGATTGATCACAAAATTGCACGTATTCTGACTTTAAAGGGAATCTGGAGAGTAATAAAATAAACCAACACAACCTGCAGGCCTTTTCCAGCAAGAAGCACTTTGAGGTAGATAATATTTATGTGCCTGATCCAATGTCCTGAAAATCTGCCTGTCCAACTGAAAAACTGCATTGTTTTTCCCTCAAGCTTTCTATTCCCTTTGCTTAGCTTTGCAAAACATATTTCTGAGACCCTGGCCATCTCTGCCCAAAAGAAATGTTCATTTTAATCCTCACCATCAGAACTGACCTGCTGTTATGGCTGATTGGTGATTTTTTTCAAGCTTTTGTGCCTGGACCTGACACTTTTAACAGTACTAACAACCATGGTCAACAGCCGTGGTCTTGGTTGAATCTTACCTATTCAACTAACAACTTTGAATAGTCTCAGTAGTTCATTACAAGCCTGCCAAATGACACTGAAGGGCAGAAATTTAATGTTTAACTAGCCTGATGAATTGGGGGGGGGTTGGGGTTGAGGTGGGGGGGTGGAAATCAAATGCAATTCAGTAAAGCCATATCCAAAAGCAATTATAAAGTGGGCATTCATCTGATTGGCACTGACTTAAATGCTTAATCCAGGAGGAAATATCAAGAGACATCCCAAATGGGATAGTCTCGTGTTTAGTCTATTCCAATTCCCATTAACCAATTATTTAATACAATAAAAAGTACATAAATGTTATTGTTTTGAAGCTGAGCATTAAAAAAAAACTTTGTAGCGTGACTATCCTAGAATTTAATTCACTACTTAGTAGTGTGTGAAGATTTTGAAATAGGAAGTAGAAATAAGCATGTCATTGCAGCTGAAATAAAGAATGTGTATCTGTCATGACTGCAAAACTAGAACTGATCCTGTTCAATGCTGCTGTCTTTTATAATGCTCAAAGAGGGTCAGGACACCATAAAATACACCAAGTTACTGAAACATCTTTCATATAGAATTGTGACTAGTAAAATGTCCATAATTATTAGTAAAAGCTAAGGAAGGTGAAAGAATTAGAGTGCCATAAGGTGAAAGAATTCCAGTGCTATGTGACATCATCTTAAAAATTAAACCCTGCATGTCAATGAGAAGAACTATTTTATTAGTGGCAAACTAGGATGTTTAGTCAGCCTGGTAACAGAGGCAATATTTTCCTGTCTTCTTCATTTAGGGCATTTTTATTTAACCAAGTAAGACTTGGTTAAATTGCTTTTATGTGACTAAAAGACTTTTCCTTTGGGTCTGGTCTTTTCTGACACTTTGTGGGTTCTTTCCCACCACACTGCTTCCTCTAAATTGCATAATTGACCAGAAAGGACACCTGGGCTGGCAAGTGGAAAAAGCCTGAACTCTCTCTCCCTCATTTTCTCTCCTTTTGCATCCTTTGCCTCTTCTCTCATCTCCACAGAGACAATTTAAATGCTGAATAAAGTCCCAGTTCTTAACAGGTACTTAAATTCAACCTGAGGCAGTGACTGCCACTTCATGCCATGAATTTAAAGCAACAAACTACTCAGGCTATTCATGTATCTGTAGTGTATTATTCACAATCAGAGCAATATCTGTTTGTAAAAAGGGGGCTATAATTACTAGACAATGGCAAAGTTGCTGTTCAATTAATGATGAAGCTGATGTCTCTGTATCCTGTGTCCATCTGTGCTTCAGACAGCGATTTACAGGTCTACCTTATTGTAAAATACCTGGTTGGAGCCAGGTAGGCATAAAGTGCCAACTATTGCTTTTGAAAATTAAACTGGTCCTTTTTTTTGGGGATAAACTGCCAACAGTTGTTTTTTTCAAATGAAACTGGCCCCCATAGATCTAAGTCTAGTTGTAATCTTCTTTTTACTTAAATTCTGAAACTAGGCCTCCTACATGTGTTGCAAATGAGATTGAGTGCTCTGTTGTCATAAATTTTCATGAAATACATCTTGCAGTCTGACTGAGGCAGTACAGGGTTCCCTATTTCCATTTCTAAATTCAAAAATATTGGAGTCAAAAAAAACGTCCATTATAGAGTTATCTGGAATATCCTTCTCTGCCTATGAAAATTGTGGGAAAAGCCTTTTTTAAAAAATAAGTCCAGTTTGATTATTTGCTTAGGGATTTTTTTTTTCAGATGAAGAATGAAGTATTTTAATTTCAATTACATGCTTCATTGGTACTTTTTCTGTAGCTGCATTGAGCAGACTAACAAAAGATCTGAGGTATTGATGTATTCAATAAGATATAATCAATAATTTGATAGGCTTTTAAAAATATTGTTATTGTTGTCTTTCTGTTCAGGATCCAGACAATATAATTTTTTATCTGGAATTCATAGGAAGACATTCTATGATTTAGTAATCTCATTATCCTCAAGTTTTTTAAAACAAATGGGAAGGTTTATTTTGTAGAATTTACATTTGCCACATCGGGCTCAGTAACAATTCACATGAAAGCCTGAGAAAAAAGTCCCCTTGTTTTACCTGCATTGTCTGTAACAGAAGAAGGCCTAAAGGAGGATGACAGATTAATATTGCCTTGCTCACAGGCTGTCAGGCTGGTTTAATTATCTTAGCTGTTAAATAATACTTCTCATTGAAATTCATGGTTCAATAGGTACAACTCATTGGAGACTGCGCTCTGTGTTTGACTGCAGTTAAATAATCCGTAAAAAATAGGAGAATTTCTTCAGTGGCATTTCTTCCACGCTGTGGGATCTTTCTGCATTTAGTACAGACACATGAGAAATACTTTTTCTGTGCAGAGGTGGGGATGGAGCTTCATTTTTGGAGGCAAAAATCCTGTGCCTCTACTGTCCCTGAAAGTGGGAAACCTGCCCCAGCAGCTGGGGCTGGGCTGCTGCTGTGGCATGGCTGCAATCCAGCCTACAAGGACAGCAGATATGGGGGGACTCCTCAAGGTTCATCACTTCCAGTTGTCTGCACTTTCATGCTTCATTCCCAGTTGAAATAGGCATTTTAAGAAAACATAAAGCCGACAGCCTGATTTAATCCCCAGGGCTCAGGCCACAAGCAGCAGCCTGTGCTGTCAAAGACTTAATCAGAGCCAGCAGCTGGCCAGGGAGCTTTATTTCAGTACGTGCATGTTCTGATGGTCACTGATTGAAAACTCCTTCATTTCTGTGGGTGGTCCACCTCACTGTGAGCCTGACATACTCTTTGGGGCTGTTTTATTCTTCCATCAAAAGGATACAAGTCTTCTCCCTGCTTGCATCAACATTGCAGTCTGACATTGTGTCACCAGCATGGAGAGTGCTTGAGTAAGGGGCTCTTAAAAAGATCCTTTCTTCTTAAATACTGCAGGGCATGCACATCTTTCTGGCAGGTTCATGTTTGTTTAGAGATAAACCCTTCTCATACTGCATTCAATTCCAAATTCTGTCTCCATACCTAAACAATCTATTTAGATGCCTTCACCACAGGATTTGGATACCTGAGAATTTTATTTTGTTATTTTTGGTGTGGTGCTGTGATTTTAAGAGGAAACATTCCAAATGAAATAGGAGTTCAAAGAAAAGACTGACTATTCTGCCAAGTTGTTGAACTTCTTCTGTTTGCTGTGGAGTGCCAAACGTCAAACTGGGAGAGTATCTTGGGGGGTTTTGTTTTTGAAGGTGAAGGGGGAAATTTTAGTCCAAAATACATGTCATAATGGTTAAAGCATGTAGAATATTTCAAAAGTACTTGAAGATGCAGATCCAAGGCTGTATATCTGATTTTTATGAGCTCCACTGATACTATCAGATCAGTGGATTAGTTTCATACTTATTTTCCTAACTTGGTATTGACAAAGAATTCAGAACCAAGCCATTCAGAATTAAGAACTATCTTCTGGAGAAAGGTTTATAAAGAATGTGTGGTTTTAACTGCATTGTGGGGGAAGTACATAGTAACTTTTGTCTGGCGTGTGTTTCAGACATCTTTTCAATTTTCTGAAAAGAAACTATTGGAAGGCTCAAGTTCTTATGAATGCAGGAGCTGGAAATAAACAAAAAAAACCAAAAAAGCCTTAAAACTTTATATTAAATTCTGACATCTTAACAGCATTGCTGTCCCTTACTCAGAAAAAAGCCAAACTTGCTGCCTTCATATGCATTGAATTCTTTTCTCTCTGTTAAGACAGCTACCAGCTTGGCTTGTGATGCTGGCAGTACACATGATGCAAGTATCTTGCTGATCTGACTTCTATAAACTGAGTAGTTTGAAACTAATTCAGAGAGGACAAGAGACTTTTGTTATGAGCAGGGTGAGTTCCTTTGTATGTGGTGTGTAGTTCATGTGTTTGTTTTTAAGTCAAGAGAGTGTGAACTCCTCAAAATAAACAAACAGGAGAGTAAAATGCCGCCACTTAAAATCAGCCTTAAAGTGGTAAACACTGGTAAACAAAGCTGAGAATACTGGGGGTGAGGGAAAATAATTTTTGGTTTAAAGATAAATAAGCTCCTGATCCTACCAGTAAACACCTGTTCAATTTTGTGTGTGTTTGGTCTACTGATCACTGGGGGTTACAGCTCCAAAGCAAGACTGGACTAATTGAAGCATGTTCAACAGAAAAGTAACCTGAAAGAGCAAATAAAAGTTTGTGGAGCTAGAAACGAATTTGAACAGAAAGAAGAGTATTTGGACTATTGTTTTTACATTCAAGTATGAGTACCATCAAGCCCTGTGTTTAAGTATGGTTTATATAACTTTTCATGCTGAAATAATTTTAAATTAAGCATAAGTCTGTCAAGCTGAGAACACCATGTGAGTGTAAAGGCACAGAGGTTGAGATGGAGTTCTGGCTAAGTAGGAACACTGTTGTGCACACACAGGAACTGTGCTAGCAGGAAATAGTCAATAACATATCCCAAGAAGGAATCAGCTGGCCAAGTGTTTCCATAGGAAAAAAACTGGCAGGAAAATATCCTTATATTAAAAAAGAAGAAAACAAAACCAAATAAGGTGGAAAAGCTTACTTTGGTGTTTCCTTTTTTTTTCCCCACACTTGAGAAAGAGAACAGTTATTAACATTTGGTTGAAAAACAGGGGTTCTGGCTGCCAGCCAAAGGCAGCCCTGCTGTGAAAACATTTCTGTGGCTGATACAATACCTTGTGGTAACCACTGTCTTCAGCAAGGAGTGCTCTACAGCAGGGTAACACAGTACCTGTTTTATTGCTGATGTGTTTCAGCTATTGTAAACACTTTTTCCTGAAGCAGTTCT